TCTGAAATGAAATACATACATGTATGAAACAAAACTTTGTGAAAGGTGATATAAAGTCTGATAGTGGAAAGGGATAATAACATGCATAGAATGAGTGGAACTTGAATATGACAACCATAGTACACCTGTACAGTGGAAAGGGATAATAACATGCATAGAATGAGTGGAACTTGAATATGACAACCATAGTACACCTGTACAGTGAAAGGGATAATAACATGCATAGAATGAGTGGAACTTGAATATGACAACCATAGTACACCTGTACAGTGGAAAGGGATAATAACATGCATAGAATGAGTGGAACTTGAATATGACAACCATAGTACACCTGTACAGTGGAAAGGGATAATAACATGCATAGAATGAGTGGAACTTGAATATGACAACCATAGTACACCTGTACAGTGGAAAGGATAATAACATGCATAGAATGAGTGGAACTTGAATATGACAACCATAGTACACCTGTACAGTGAAAAGGGATAATAACATGCATAGAATGAGTGGAACTTGAATATGACAACCATAGTACACCTGTACAGTGGAAAGGATAATAACATGCATAGAATGAGTGGAACTTGAATATGACAACCATAGTACACCTGTACAGTGGAAAGGGATAATAACATGCATAGAATGAGTGGAACTTGAATATGACAACCATAGTACACCTGTACAGTGGAAAGGGATAATAACATGCATAGAATGAGTGGAACTTGAATATGACAACCATAGTACACCTGTACAGTGGAAACAAATGAAAGTGAAAGTGTATACAATGCAGGTATGGTAGATTAGGATGCTATGAACATTAGTAATGATGTAAGACTTTTCCCTTTCAAGACATTCATACTTACCCCTGAAAAACTGCTCTGTGATGATGGAAGGCTACCCTGACTACACATCAATTCTTCAACATCTAAATTGATAATATCAGAATACTTTTCCCCTCCAAGTGATTCACCAGATCTGAGACTGCAGTTCAATGAGAGCTTCTCTTCTTCGCTATCTTCAGTACTGTTTATACTTCCTGACATATTAATACCACTGTCATTTTGTAAGTGTGTTACATGCAAGTCTGCATCAGGTACAATTAGTTGTGGCAAACATATTAAGTCATCATCAGCATTATATTCTTGTGAAGCTCTCTTGACTTGTTTAAACTGTCCATCCGCTTCTCTTGAATTTTTAAAAGGCATTTTTGAAAAATACCCCGATTTCTTTTCTCCTTTGTTCCACTTAAAAGAGCTAAGCCTAGAAAGTAAGCTCTTAGACGTGGATAATTTTTCTTCATCGTTCTTCTTTGCTTTTTCATCATTCGCTAAATAAGTATTTGTAGTCATGGCAACATCCTCTTCATCATCTGCAAGTTTGTTATGTTTTACAATATTGTTAGTAACATAATTATTAATGACACCAACTTGTGTTTCATGATGCTTTAAATTATTTTCCCCTTTTGTAAATATAAATTTGTTCAATGAAGAGTTCACAGCTTGGTCATCTTCATTTGTGACACAACAACTTGACGTTTCAGCTTCCATTTCTTCTTCATCTTCCCCCATAGTCACATCACTTTGAAGTGTTGAGTCTTTTTCATTATCCACCAAGGCATTGAGAAAAGTTTTCTCTTTTTTTTCTATTACAGTTGCTTCAGGTGACTTTGTACACAGATTATTCACAAAAAACCTATTAAAATAAAACAAAATATTTAATAAACTCCAGTTATACATTGTATTCTGCAGTGAGAGTTAAGTAATTGAATATAAACAGAACCACAGAACAAGCAGATAGGGACATACTACTCTGTGGAAGAAGATAAAGTGTGAGGTGGTAGAAGGACCAACAACATCCACAGTTTGGTATACAAGAAGTCAAGTAAACATTATTGAAACTGCACCAATGTACACATGGCCAACATTATTGCTATTTGAGGATAATTATACAAGAACTGGAAATTGATCTTAAATCATTTTTATACGAGGCGCACATTTCAAATTTTGCTGCATCAATTTTCATCAACAAGTTAAACATACCTGCTCATTTCAGTATTACTGCTTCTTAGTAGGTTCTCTCTTCTCTCAGATGACATTCTTCTATTGAATACAGCAAATTTATTTCGTATCTTACCGTTCTTAGTCGGAGATGGTGGTGGTTTGGATACTGGAATTACTGGTACATTAGACACTTTAATTTGTGGTTTTGACTCTATAGGTGTCCCTGAATATTGCGATTTCAACTCTTCCATATAATTATCAGGTTCATCCAAAGTGTTATCTGTGAAAGCATCAAACAAAGCCCAAAAATAGATAGTCAGAACAATCAAACATCAATGTTATCAGCTAATAACATCTGATAATATGAGAGAAGACTCAAATACCCAATTATTTTTTTTTTACAGCTCAAGCATGAAAATAAAACCAACTCGACTACCAATTATTTGTAATTTACAAAACGTGCAATAAACTCATAAGAGGAATATGCAAACTTTGACAATTAGATGCTGGATATTTCACTTTGTTGGAATAGTTTTTTCTGAATTAAAATCAAGCAATAACAATTCTGATTGCAATGTTATAGTGTAATAACTGGGCACATTAAATTTATATGCAGTTGCTAACAATAATGGCTCATTGTGACACTTTGTTTTGCTTTACAAGTGTATCCATGTTTACAAGGCTTTCATGTTCAGTCTCACAATATGTCGCACAGAAAAATATTAACACAGATGAAAAAACTTTCTTTATTCAATCAGTAATTAGTTAATATTGAGTCATCTAAGTAATATGCAATTCTGGAGATACATGCAAGTATCAGATGTAGTTGTTGCTATGGTTACGTGTACAACTTTTGGCAGAGTTGATACCACTTCTGGTGTATAATACAAATAATCTT